GGTCCCTGGGCCCGCGTGTAAAACTAACTACGAGAACAAGGGAGGCCCACGTATGCGAAGCCGAGCACGTGTGGACCATCCGACAGTCCGCTGGGGTTGCAACCACTTGAGACTGCCTTCGCCAACCAAGTTTATAACACTTTGTTCAATTAACGAAACTTTTGCCCACGTTGGCCTTGACTAAAACGCGGCCTGTGTCATAAGCCTGGTCGACTCACCGAAGCCCAAACATGATCTCTTTGTTAAAACTGGCCGTTTATTGCAAGCTGCGATTCGTACGAGATGCGTTCTTATGTATGACTTGGTTGGCGACACGGAAGAGAATGATTCTTTTTTCTTTCCTATAGCGATTCGGTTACTCCGCGAGACCACGGATGAACCGCAGAATAAAGGCCCGCCCGCGATAAGGCAATTCCGCACACGTGCGAATCGGGCCGGATGCCGGATATTTCCTTTACAATTCAAAATATCGAACACGTGTTAATCAGGCCGCATGCCTAATATATCCTTACATATTATACAGAGTGTTCGGTAACTGGTGGTGTCCTGTACGTCGCGACAACGTTGAAATGATTGGCTAACGACGAAGTATAAAATGCTAGTTGTTTTAATAAAATAATTTATTAGTGAAGCGCGATTGATTTAGTCCCTGGCGAGGACCTTTAGAATATTCTGCTCGGATTTATACAATGTTCTTGTTCGGATTTTTACAATATTCATGTTCGGATTTTTACAAGAATCTCTTACGTTGCTCGCAATCTGCGTTACATATGTAATTTTAGAGGGTGGAGACCCCGGAATCGGAATGGAAAATTGGGTGTGCTTTTATCAGGCATTGGCCAGTTGGAAAAAATGTAGGCTGGGACCTAGGAAATGGAGTGGAGGTATGCATAGCGCTGTTTTGGAAAAGGAAAGTTGGTTAAGAGGTTACCAGGTTGGTAACAAGTGGTTGGGCCTACCCTAACACTTAGGCCTACTATAAATCTTATATTGCGTCGCGACGGGACGCTCGAGGGTCCGCGACGCAACAAGTGGTACAAGCGAAAAGGGGGTGATTCTACGTGAAAAAATAAGTCTAAAACATAAAATAATAATTTTTCATGTGAGGCTTTGTTTTCGAGAAAATCGACTTTGAATTTTCGCCGGGTATGCGTACACTTAACTATCTCTCATTATAGCGGATCTCGCTATAGATCATTGTCTCGATGGGTGTGTAGCGACCGGTCGTGCGCACATGGGAAAGTTTTTCTCTCGTGCAAACGGCCCACGTAATTTACGACTCTCGTTCGTCGAAGCTGTTTTTGAGGAAGATATTTTCCAGACTCGCGTATCGAATGCGTTTAGTAAATTCTTTTCCTAAGTCCCTCAACAGCAAATAGAGACCGTCGTAAATTAGGGATTTCCAGAGGACACTCGACGCGTACCCATCGGAGTTTCGCCAAGTGGGCCCAGCGCGGGTGGTCCGAAGGAAATCTTGCAGTGAGGACGCAACGTCGTCCCCCTCAATCACCACGCCGTTTCGAAAACAAGCACGCCGTGGGCGTAAGAAATAGGCGGTGATTTGGGAAAAATAAACGGCCCTGATTGGAAAGGCCCAACGCGTGGGGTTAACCAATCAGGGTTGTTTAACAATTTTGCCAGTGCAACCGAGGGGTCGACATGGAGACGAGCGAAGAAGAACGACACTTGGTTTTGCGCGCTCTAACCGAAAACATCGAAAATAAAGAAAGATTTGTCACCCCACAAGAAGTGTAGTTCCTACAACAACCTATCCCAACACGTGTTAACTCCGTAATTGTTCTGAGAGTTAGATATGTAGTAAATCAATTTTATTCGATTTACAATCAGAGTAATTTATAAAATTAATAACAACAACAAATATTTATTACTTTGATCACTTGGGTGATCTACCAAAGTCCAAGTTTGGAGGGGTTATCACTTGTAAGGTGATACATCTATAATGTTCAGGTTCAAACAGGCTTCCAAATGCCTTGAGAGACTAAGATATTCTCGCAAACGTTCTAGTGTTTCGAGAATCGAAGATATTCTAATTTGTCCAGTGTGCAGTCCTGATGAAAGACTTCGTTCTCCCTCTTACAAGAACGTTTTTTAGGTGTCCGCCTCCGATTGTTCTGAATTTTAGATATGTTTAAGGAACCGAAAAATAAGATATACGTATTTTTTTATATCAGCCGTTTTCATATTTAGGGGGTGAAACGACCCCCTAAAATTTCAGCTACAATAGGCTATCTCAACAAACTATCATAGATAGAAGTGTTTGTACGCGTAACTATTTGCGCGTTTGCCTTTTTGTACGCATACCTCACACGCCTACTTAAAATTGTGTGAGTATTTAGGGTGCTTTACAGAAGCAAAGACGATGGTTGTTCGTTAAGTCTTTATTTTGAAACAAGTAGATGACGAGACTCTTGAGTTGTATTCTGACTGAGCGTTGCTTGATATCTGTCTAACAGTGGTATCTTTTAGCGCTTTTCGACTCGGTGAAGTTGTGGTTGGTTGGATTCATTAGTGGAAAGGGCGAGATGGATGGCTTCTTATTGGTGGTGCTTGGTAGGAGGGTGTATCGGAATGTTCTTGAGGCGTGTCTTAAATGTTTAAATATTTTGGGAAAATGTTTGTCGTTGGGGCAGGTATGGTTTATTGGGGGTGTTTGCACGTGAGGTGCAGCTGTCGAGGAGTCTATGTTTATGGGGGACGGTTTTTAGTCGCTAAAATGCTAATTGCCTTGCTTCTATGGTCTGCTTACGGCGACCCTTTCCAAGCTACCTGCGTTGGACGCAAATATTCGTTGTTATAAAATATCCCGTTCTTAAAAATGATTTCGCTGCGCGACCAAGAAGAAAACTTCTTAAGGATATGTTCAATGGTTTTTATGTACATATAAATGTAATATTTGTTTATAACATTATTTTAAAAGAAATCACAATTTATATAATAACAAAAAAGAACACAATTTCTTTTCTGAATCCATTGATATATCACATAGTATGTTTGCCTCTTACAATTTTGCGTATTTCAATATTATATATGTGTTGCGCACAAACATCGGGTGGCGGTCATACCAGATATGAAGTGTGGTCGATGTCTTTCTTGGGACGATATTTTTTGGCAAACAACATATATGATCAACTACACCTTATTTCTTTCTTTCTCACACTACAATCTATACATATGTATATCACATGACCAGGGAAGTTCTGTCGACCAAGCATGAGATATATCATTTGACTCTAAATGGGTATGTGAATGCATAAAGAAGTGGTTCTTATTACGCACTAAACAAGCAGTAAACAATTAATCATATATGTATATATAATTCTTCAAACTATCATTCATGCACTCTGCACTTTTTTATCGTCATTATATCGTATGGAACGTCATTTTATATTTTTGTACGCTCAACAATAGCAGTGTATCAAATTATGAGTTATTTTTTGCGAAGCTGTGCTGTATATATACCTCGACGATTAGTTAATTGTAAAGTCAAATCAGAGCGTTCGACGTGATCACAGCATTCATTTTGTAATACAGTGATTAAAAATGATTATCAATCCGATGAATGTGATTAATTTGCTATTAGCAAACATTTCAAACAATGTATTTAATGGATACTCCTGTAACAAGAGAGGAAGTACAACTCAAGGAAACCATTCAAAAAATGTTACTCGATAGCATATTTGAATTTAATGAAATTTAAGTTTCTGAAGAACGATCATTGGACTTATTGGATCAATTTAAAGAATGTGAGGTTGAGGCTGTTGATGAAGATGATGCAGACGAAAATTGGTTTGGGGAGACATATACTGGAGTTTGTTCGCAGCGTGACGAAGACGTTGACGTTCATTATAAACGAAATGCAGTTGCGTTTTGGAAAGGTGGAGAAAAAAGACGTACACTTACTACCGTTCAACATAATTTTAAACTTGTTTCATCTGAACGACAATTACGAAGATGGACTCATCAAATTGAAGCAAGAGGAACTAGAAAAGAAAGATTGGCTCAAATTTCCGAGTTCGTGATAACAAATTTGAAGAGAGCTATTGATTTCGGTTATATTTTGTATGATAGAGATATTCGACGATGGGCTTTACAAGCATATAAGGAACAAGGTAACGATTATATGACATTTAAAGCTTCCAAAACATGGCTGTATAATTTTAAAAAAGCTCATCGTATTGTTTCTCGAAAAGTAATCAAATTTGTAACACGAAAGACAATAGAAGACGATGAAGTATTGAAAGTTAAAGCTACAGATTTTGTCAATGAAGTAAAACCTTTGATTACAAGATACGGGAATGAGAATTTGTACAATTCAGACCCGAGTGGATTTCAATTATAAATATATTCTGGGCGAACCCTAGCGATGAAAAAACCAAAAGAAAGTAGATTGTGTTGTACAATCTGTACCTTCAACATCGCATAGTTACAAAATACAACCAACAATAACTGCTGATGGAAGATTGCTGTGACCTATTTTTATGGTTTTGCAAGAAGCAAATGGACAATTTGGACCAACAATTCAGAAAACATTATTTTGTAAGGATTGTCGAGGATGGTCAGAGAGACGTGTGGATGGATTCAAATACGCGAACACTAAACGTAAGGATATAATTATAGTATTTAATATTTACTAACGATTTAACATAAAGAACATAAAAGAAAGACATAAAACGTAAACGTAAAAGATCATAAACGTAAACTGTGACTGCTCTCGACTAACGTTCGATACAGAGTGACGTTCCTGCAGTCAAAGTCGACCCTTCCTTATTCCTATCTTATAATAATGATCTAAACAAAAGCGCGTTCGAGACGCAGTCCCTAAAACGTATTTTAGCTTAAACCTAAACACCTCACTCGATACCTACTCTAGCTTAGACTAAACACTCCTATCGACGCCAACGACAACGGTTCTCCGAACCACACACATACACTCCTTACAGTTCGGCCATCCTGACAATATGGTCGCCCTCGACCATAGTTTATTGTAAGTCCTCTTCTTGGGAATTTGTTTCCACTTCACATTCACTGTCACCTATCCACAATTTCATTCTGTCAGGACTAAATACACCGGAAAAGGGTTTCGCACTCAATTGAAATCCTTCAATGTCCTTAATTAAATATCTGTCCATTCTCAACACTTTGTCTATCACATAAGGCCCTTTATATTTTGGCAAAAGTTTTTGATTTATACCCGGCGTCGTAACCACATTTTTAATCATAACATAATCTCCGAGTTTGTATACATATGGTTTCTTATGTTTCTTATCAAATACACTCTTATTATACTCTTGTAACCTACGATTTTGTAGAAAGGCTGCTTCTCTAAGCTTATCTCGATCTTCGTCGGTTTCATTATAAATACGAAAATATTCTCGGATATCGTCATCCGAAAATCCATATTGCAAATAACCAAATAAAAGTAGACTTGGTTCGGTTCCTATCGCTTTATGATACGTGTTATTCAATGTAAATTGAGCTTTACTTAATGCTTTCAGCCATGATTCTCCTGCAGATAACTTAGCTAAAATGGATCTTAAAAATCTATTAACGCGTTCTACCTTGTTATCTAAATTCACATAATTATCTAATGATTTCATCGAAATTTCTTTAACCTCAATGGGAGGTGCCTCATCTAAGTTTTCCGGAACTATATTTAATTTCTCTTTCGTTTCTATGGCTTCGATACTTAATATCTCGTCTCTATATTCTCTATCATAATAAATACGTACTCCTTTGCTGAGAATGACTGTCATCCCGGGTCTGGTTATAAATTTGCGTCCTAATAAAGCGCTGTACGTCATTGTCGTGTCAGGTACAACCATAAATCTGACGTCAAAAATATCATTCGGCAATAATTGTAATTTAATTCTAACGTTAACATAACCCATAATTGACACCGGTGATTGGTTCACACCTCCATAATTAAAGTTGGGCTTACCTTGCACCAATTCATACTCGCTGAAAAAATTCTTAAATGTCTTATAAGTCATAAGATTTATGGCACTACCAGAATCTACCAGTGCCTCGACGAAATAGTTAACTTCTTTCTCTTCCGTAAGTAAAACGCAGCAATCTCGGGATGGGCCCTGGAGTGGTAAACACCCCCGCTGTTCCTCGGTCATCGAACTCTTCTCCACCAGCGACACGCTCGTTGACGTTGTTGCCTCCGTTCTCGATGTTTTTGGACACCTCTGGTAGCCATGTCCTTGTTCCCCGCAGGAGAAACAAGACCCGCGCTCCCTCTTGGGTTTGGGACAGGAGCTTGCCAGATGTCCCTCTCCATAACAATTAAAGCACCGCCGCGTAGGCTGCGGTGGATTCACAGCACTTGCATTGCCACTCGGTCGATGGGGCATAATTCCCCTGTCTCCAACGATGTTCCTCTTCACGTTGGGCCTTAACGATATGTTTTCGAAGGCTTCCAACAATTCCGACGGTCCCGTAAAGCGATGCATCCTTGCCTGGCTTCGTAACCCATCGTCTGGAATTCCCTCGATTATATATTCTATTAATTCCTCTTCGTCAATACCCACTTGATTGGCCAAAATCATCTTGTCGTGATGATACTCACTAAAATTTTCGTAAATTCCCCACGCTCTTCCTTCAAATTTCCTGCGCAGTGCTAATCTACTTTGGCGATGGTCAAACATTTTCTTCATACTCGCCAACAAAACTTCAACACTCATTTCAATATGTTCCGGTTTTGAGTGCAGCCATTCTAATGCTTTCCCCTTTAATTTTGTGGCGATCAAAATTTTCACGGACTTTTCGTCTAATTCGTACGTATCTCGTAATAATCTTAAAGATTTTTCCCACACCGAAAGCGTGTTAGTGGACCCATCAAAATCGCGTAGCATATCGCCCACCACTCTCATGTTCACATTTGATCCATAACTCTGCACAGACCTCGGTGAACTTCTTAAAATTTCGTTCTCCCGTCTCATAAGCTCCATTTCCCGCTGTAACAGATCCCTCTCTCGTCGAACGAACTCTAATTCCCTTTCGTGATCGTTACTTGGACCAGACTGTTGTACCGCCATTCCACTCGCACCTGCTTCTTGACACTCATTGTCACTTTCGTCTGCAGAAGTCATCCAGGTACCTTCCGGATCCGCCGCATTCAACCTTGATAAAAGATCATTCCTCGATCCTGACGTCGGCAGATCAAGCCGCTTCAAACACTTCCTCAATTCGGGAATCGTAAAATGTTGACTCATTTTCGTTCCTTAAACTGCACAAAACCACACTAAATGTGTTACAAAATGTCTAAAAAAAATGTCTCAAGAAAAAAATTTCACAAAAATGTCTCACAAGAATTCTCACTGAATGTTCCACAAAATGTCAATTAACCTCAGTTTTTCACATAAAACACAACGTCCGCGTTGAATCCGTATCCCACTTCTGACGTTAAACTGTAAGGATTGTCGAGGATGGTCAGAGAGACGTGTGGATGGATTCAAATACGCGAACACTAAACGTAAGGATATAATTATAGTATTTAATATTTACTAACGATTTAACATAAAGAACATAAAAGAAAGACATAAAACGTAAACGTAAAAGATCATAAACGTAAACTGTGACTGCTCTCGACTAACGTTCGATACAGAGTGACGTTCCTGCAGTCAAAGTCGACCCTTCCTTATTCCTATCTTATAATAATGATCTAAACAAAAGCGCGTTCGAGACGCAGTCCCTAAAACGTATTTTAGCTTAAACCTAAACACCTCACTCGATACCTACTCTAGCTTAGACTAAACACTCCTATCGACGCCAACGACAACGGTTCTCCGAACCACACACATACACTCCTTACAATTTAAACCGACTAACGTATACGTGACTGCATCAAAACTGGGAAACTCACTTCTGGTAACCAATATCTAAAAATTATCTTTGATTGAAAATTACCGGTACACATGTGCATAATTACTAAAGATTTTAATATAATATTACAGCTCATTTTAAAATCTGGTTGGAAGAGGTCTTTTTCACCAATACTAAAACAACGTCTGTGTTGCTATTAAACTCTTGGAGTGGACACTGTGAGCAAGATGTACGTAATGCGAAACCAACGGGTAAAGAAATTATAAGACGATACCAAAGGGTACCACTGGACGAATTCAACCTCTAGATGTTTATGGATTTAAGGTGTGGAAAAATTATGTTCGACGTTTTTTCGATGATGTACTGTTACATGATTACGAGGTTTAAAGTTCATTTAAGGAATAATGTAATTAAATTACTATCAGTTGTACATAATCAACTGTCTTCACCAAGATATAAAAATCTAATCCAGTATGCTTGGTACAAAAGTGGGTATACAGAAGAAAAATCAGATTTTGTGAATCCTGTAGACTTTGCTTTCGAACAGAACGCACAAATGAAATGTGCACTTTGTGATGAAACACCGATAGTTAGATGTTCTTGGTGTAAAAAAGCATTTTGTTTAAAACCTTTTTTTTCATAAATATCACTTCTGCAACAAATTTGAATATTAAGTGAATCATTTTATAAACTTCATACATTATGTAAAAAATTCAGGTGATAAATTTATACTATGTGTTGGGATAGGTTGTTGTAGGAACTACACTTCTTGTGGGGTGACAAATCTTTCTTTATTTTTCGATGTTTTCGGTTAGAGCGCGCAAAACCAAGTGTCGTTCTTCTTCGCTCGTCTCCATGTCGACCCCTCGGTTGCACTGGCAAAATTGTTAAACAACCCTGATTGGTTAACCCCACGCGTTGGGCCTTTCCAATCAGGGCCGTTTATTTTTCCCAAATCACCGCCTATTTCTTACGCCCACGGCGTGCTTGTTTTCGAAACGGCGTGGTGATTGAGGGGGACGACGTTGCGTCCTCACTGCAAGATTTCCTTCGGACCACCCGCGCTGGGCCCACTTGGCGAAACTCCGATGGGTACGCGTCGAGTGTCCTCTGGAAATCCCTAATTTACGACGGTCTCTATTTGCTGTTGAGGGACTTAGGAAAAGAATTTACTAAACGCATTCGATACGCGAGTCTGGAAAATATCTTCCTCAAAAACAGCTTCGACGAACGAGAGTCGTAAATTACGTGGGCCGTTTGCACGAGAGAAAAACTTTCCCATGTGCGCACGACTGGTCGCTACATATGTATACATACATTTGAAATATAATTGCACCAATCATGTTAGTAGTACCGGAAATTAATTTATATTAATTATATTCCTTACCATATGTATGTATCGCATATTAATATGTAACTAAAGTAATTTTTATTAATATAGTAAGCTATAAATAACTTTACTAGTGCCTAGTATACATAGTAAACACCAGATATTATAATGAACATTAACCATACGTTATATCTGGTATGACCGTCATCCGATGTTTGTGCGCAACACATATATAATATTGAAATACACGAAATTGTAAGAGGCAAACATACTATGTGATATATCAATGGATTCAGAAAAGAAATTGTGTTCTTTTTTGTTATTATGTAAATTGTGATTTCTTTCAAAATAATGTTATAAACAAAGTATTTGTTACAAAATTGATGACCAGCATTTATATGTATATAACAAACCATGAAACTTTTCCTTAAGAAATTTTCTTTTATCTATGATAGTTTTTGAGATAGCCTATTGTAGCTGAAACTTTAGGGAGTCGTGCACCCCCTAAATATGAAAACGGGCCGATATAAAAAAATACGTGTATCTTATTTTTCGGTTCTTTAAAACATATCCTATATAAAAACCTTCCTTTTAGTGCCTCCTTGGAGGCGTCGATGTTCCAGATTGGGCCTTGTCCTGCCCAATCCGAAATTTGTTTAGTTTTTGAATTGTGCAACGCCCACAGCCTGGTTTGTTTCATTTTGCAAATCAAGGTCTGCAGGACGTTGCACAATCCCTGGGTTAATTTATTACCCTAATTCTTTATCCTATTCTTAAAGTCCTAGTGACTGTCCTAAGTCCTGGTGGCGAGCACGTGAGGGTCTGCGATACATCAATGGCCGTTGAGGGTGGTCTAACCGGGAACCGTTTCCAGAGAAATCTGAAACCGGCATCCGGCCAGACCTAGTCCTTTAGAAATTGCATGCTGTCCGTGAAAAATTGTGACTTCCTCAAAAACGGCACTGTTCATTGTCGACTGCAGCGGAAACCCTTCACGTGGCGGCAACAATGGGTATTATTGCAGTTTAAATTTGTTTTTATCGTAACGGAAAATTAGGCACACGGAAATCGAGTTTTATGGGGACGGTTCTGGTCGCGAAAATTCTTAATTGCCTAAACATGCGACGGTCCCTACGACCACTCCCTGTCTACCTGTGTTGGGCCTCAACATAGCGTTTAGCGGTAAAGGTAAGATAGTAAGCTGATAGGTACAATAAACAATTCCGTAACACTGGAAGTGTTTATCAACATAAACGTCAATCGAGACAATGCTCTACAGCGAGGTCCGTTATAACAAGACATGATCAAGAACACGCGTATCCGACGAAAATACAAAGCCGTATTCTCGAAAACAAAGCCTCACATGAAACATGTTTATTCTATAACTTAGACTTATTATTTCATCTAGAATCACCCCCTTTCCGCTTGCACCACAAGCCACCGAACACCTTGTATAATCAAAAATTTGAGTACAATTTTTTAACCACCAAAACTGTACTACATACATACAATCTATTATTAAATAAAAGCTATATTCTGCTTACCAAATATGCATGTCGATGCTGCATTTTTTCAAACACATAATTTGATACCAATTAACATATTCGGGTACAAACGGGTACAATCGTCAAGGAAACTGCTCTCGCAAGAAGATTCGAAAAATATTCAAAAATGACAAAGTTACTCCTTGACGATTTTTCAAAGCGTGGCTCAATTGAACCCTTTAGGGTACAAACGAAAACAAGGGTGGTACAAACGGGTACAAACGTCAAGGAAACTGCTCCCGCAAGAAGATTCGAAAAATATTCAAAAATGGCAAAGTTACCCCTTGACGATTTTTCAAAGCATCGCCGAACCTAACCCTTTGGGGTACAAACGAAAACAAGGGTGGTACAAACGGGTACAAACGTCAAGGAAACTGCTCCCACAAGAAGATTCGAAAAATATTCAAAAATGACAAAGTTACCCCTTGACGATTTTTCAAAACGTGGCTCAATTGAACCCTTTAGGGTACAAACGAAAACAAAGGTGGTACAAACGGGTACAAACGTCAAGGAAACTGCTCCCGCAAGAAGATTCGAAAAATATTCAAAAATGAGAAAGTTACCTCTTGACGATTTTTCAAAGCATCGCCGAACCTAACCCTTTGGGGTACAAACGAAAACAAGGGTGGTACAAACGGGTACAAACGTCAAGGAAACTGCTCCCGCAAGAAGATTCGAAAAATATTCAAAAATGAGAAAGTTACCTCTTGACGATTTTTCAAAGCATGGCCCAACCGAACCCTTTGGGGTACAAACGAAAACAAGGGTGGTACAAACGGGTACAAACGATTCTGTTTCTGATGGCGTCGAGAAAATTAAAAAATATTAAAGTGGGGTTCTGGGCTTTTTTCACCCCTCAATATCTTTTCATCCCTTAAGGTACAAACAAAAATAAGGGTGGTACAAACGGGTACAAACGACGTAGAATTAGATGCAATTGAAAAATATCAACTTTTTGAAAGTCGGGCGCCAGGTTCAGGTAGGTCAATTGTTGCCGCTGCAATCCTTCCGTGATGGTGGTCGACGGTATGATGATATCATCGATATATGGGAAGGCTACAGAATTCCTCAACGGCCCCAGCACTGCGTTGATCAGTCGTTGGAAAACGGCAGGGGCCTTCGTGAGCCCGAACGGCATCCGTAGAAATTCGTAATGCCCATCCGATGTAATAAAGGCCGTTTTTCTCTACCGATTCGGCGCTCATCGGTACCTGATAGTACCCGGACGCCAAGTCCAACGCGGTGAAATATTTATTACCTCCTAACCGGTCGATCTGGTCCGGTATTAAGGGTAATGGATACCGATCCCTGAAAGTTACCGCGTTCAAGCGTCGGTAATCCACGCATAACCGATAATCGCCCGTCTTCTTCTTGATCAGGGTAATCGGGCTCGCGTATGGTGATACGGATTCCCGCACGATATCGTTGTCCATCAATTCCGTGATAATGTTTCGCGCAATTCCGCGTTCGATCTTCGCCATACGGTACGGGTTGTAACAGACCGGAATATCTGTTGTGCAACGAATCTCCATCTGTACGGTGTTAGTTTTTCCAAGTGTTCGCATCGACGTTGAAACTTGGTCCGCATACCTCC